CCAACTCACCGAGTCCACCCAGGACTCACTACTCTACTCAGCATAAACGAAAAGGGGGAAAACTCGGGGACTAGCGACCCGACTCGCCGTGTTCGATGAGCAACTCGTCGAGTCTGCCACATGCAAATACTATACACTCGATTTTGTTCGAATCCAGTCCATGCCATTTATAGATCTGAGTTCTTAGGGCAGGATTTTCACTTAAAGTTTCCAACTTTACGTGTAGAAATGCATGGAATGGGGATTAAAGGCGAAATAGGGTTTAAGAAGGTAGATCTAGGACATTCAAGCAATTTACTCCCATAAAGGTTATAGATCTGAGCTTCTGGAGCTCAAACATGACTAGATCTAGTGGATAATCAACCTATAACGGATTCTACTTCATGCACAAGCTTGGAAAAAGGTTCAAGAAGAGCTCAAAAGGTGCTCTAATGGGGTTTAAGCATACAAACAGAATGGAGCAGAGATATACCTTAGAGAACTCTGAAATAGCACCAAGATATATAGTCTCCTTCTCCTCTTCTTGATCCACTCTCCTTCTTCTCCCAAAAACTTCAAGGAATCACTCTAAACACTTCAATCTCACAAGAAACGAGTTAGGGTTTGATGTAGGGCGCTCTGAGGGTGAAAGGGGGCGAGCTTGGGCCGCACAAGCTAGCTTAAATAGGGGGCAAACCCTTGGAATTAGGGTTTCATCAGACAGCGGGGACTCGCCGAGTCCGGAATATGGACTCGCCGAGTCGCCAACTTAAACATGCTCTGGGTCCCATCTCTACTCGGCAAGTCGGACCTACAACTCGCCGAGTCCAAGGCTAAAAATGAAAAAAAAACACAAAGATAAATTTTACGTACCAGGAACTTGGTGCTACAAAGACAAAGAGGATAGTGTGAGTTTTAGAAAGCAGTTTGATGAAATGACTAAGAAATTGGTGATTCATAATTTTTTTTTATGGATGCTTTTTGTTATGTCTGTAGTGAAAATCATGACAAGTTAATGGTATTTGTATGCTTTTATAAAAGGCAATGTACTTTGAAAGTAGTTTTAATAAAATTAAATGGGAAATGTACTTAGGTGTTGTTCTTTTAATCACATGGTGGGAGTTAAGGCATTGTAATAATTATAGTTCATCATAGCAAAGGAAAAATTGTAACGTCCCAAATTTAAAGAAAATTTTAACTTTTATAATCATAAATACCAACCACAATTGTTTCCAGAAAAAAACCCATTACATGACCATAGTGATTTAAAAGATTAGAGTATCAAAACTAATTATGAAAACACTGGAGAATGCACGCCGAGCCATCAAACCGGACCCTTACCCTTAGAACTAGAAGTACCTGAAACATCCAACAAAACTGTAAGCACAAGCTTAGTGAATTTCTCAAAACACACAAAACATATAATCACATAATGCCATGCACACATACATATAAGTTTGCCATGGACTCCCTCCATGGTCTTCATTTGGAATGTCATGGGCTACCCCTATGGTCTTGTATCCCCGAGCCATGGGCTCCTCCCATGGTCTTGCCAAGTGTCATGGACTCCTCCCATGGTCTTCACATAAGTTCACACATATATCAAATAGCAAACCATTACATACTCCATTACTAATCATATCATATCAATTAATGGGCCGACCTTGGTGCCTTCGACCCATGAGTGTAGTGAGAAGACTCACCTCAAATACTGAATGACAGATGACTAGGTCTTGGCTCCAAATGTTAGTTCTACTCAACCCCTAAAACAAAAATGATTCCTTAAATGCAACTCAACATGCCCCAAAACCCATTATAGGTCAAACTCGGTCAAAGACAAAGTCAAATGTCCAGGTCAACAGTTCGAGTTGACCAAACACGCCGTGTTTCTTCATCTATTGCAATATTGGGAAAAACCTTATTAACTTGCCCTTGTTCACTAAGTAACACGCCGAGTTAGCCAGAATTTCAACAGCTTAATGTATTAAGATATTTCCATCGAATTTAGGAGCTCCAAATCTCAGGTCTCCTCCAAAATGATGTCTAGAAGGGTAAAGCTTCCAACTTTACCCTTAGGAACCACCAAAATGAGTCAAACCCGAACCCTAGACTCATTAGAGTGAAGCTTGACCCGCTAAGCCCTTAATCTCCAAAGACATAGTCCCAAAAAGCAGATCTGACATCCAAAGGCTGGAAAATCACGTAAAGTTTCCAACTTTACGTCCCTGCACACTAAAAAGAAGCTCTATGGCTCAAGAAGGGCCTAATAAAGGACTTCATGCATGAATGGGACCTAGAACCTAGTAAAGCTTGCAAATTTAAGCCAAATGACGCCACAAAATGGCCAGATCTAACATGACAACCCCTGGAACACACAACTTCTTGGACACCCAACCATGAGTCTGAAATCAAGATAAAACCCAAAACAAAGAGATCTAAACAATAACAAAGCAAGGTATAAACTTGATACCTCCAAGAGACTGCAACAAGTGGGGAGATTCTAGATCTAAGTCTTCCCTCCAAGCTATATGCCTTCAACTTCAAAGCTTCTTCAAAAGAGTACAAAAAGATCAACACTCAAGGCCCTCCACAAGCTCACACACTCACAAAGGACGATGATACACACTATTAGGGTTTCTGGACAGAGGAGGTAGGTAAGGAGGCCAACCAAGGGACTTAAGGCCTTTAAATAGGGTGGAACACCCTGGAAATTAGGGTTTCCTTCCTAACCACCAACACACCGAGTTGAGACACCTCGACTCGTCGTGTTGGTTCATTGATTTCCAAGGCCAAAGTCATCTTTGTTGGAATAGTGTCCAAGGTCATTAACTATTAGTAATATTTCTAATAATAGCAGGGTCCTTTTGGGTTGCCCCCAAGACCCAAATTGAGTAGAATAAATAAATGAGAAATTGGTTTATTAATTATTATGGTTAATAATGAATTAGAAACTAATTGGAAATATATTATGGGAATTAATTAACAATTTAATTAATTAAAGGGTTGAATGTTCATTAACTGATAGTTGGTTAATCAAGAATGTTCCAGAACCTTTTATGGGATTAGGGTTGGATGAAAATCACTCCATCCCACATGGGAAAGGAGTGAAATTTCATGGTTAAGCCTCCATCCCACATGGGAAGGAGTATCAAACCCTAGGAGGCATCCAAGGCTATAAATAGGGCCTTAGGGATTTCATTCCTCCTTGCACCTTGGCTTGAAGTTTTCGCCAACCCTTCTTCCTCCCCTCTTAAGGGACGATTTCTAACCCCTTTGGGTTTGTGAAATTGACCCTTCTCCTAGTTATTTTCATTCCACTCTTTGGTGTCATTGGGTGTGATACCATTAAAGGGATTTTGGTTTGGGTCCTTTCATCCAAGCAACTTCATGGAGGTTCAAGATCTCAAGCATGGAGATCAAGGGCTACATAAAAGGTATGTTTTCTTACTTATGTTTTAGTTTTCTAGGGTTAATATAATTAGCATGAAGCCATAGATCCATAGGATGCATGTACACTTAGGTATATCATTGTTTCAATTTTTCCGCTGCCTAGTTTTAGAGTGTATTTGATGCATAGAAAACCCAACAGTGGTATCAAAGCCATTGGTTCATGGTTAATTTCACCCTAGATCCATGTTTTTTGTAAAAACTTGTTTGGAATTGAATGATGAAAGAATAATTGAAAAATTCATAATGTGTTGAAACCCTAGTCGTAGCTCACGACGTGAACTTAGCAGATTTGGGATTTTCGAATTTTCCTTTAATTTTCAAATATGAAGCTTTGATAAACATGGATAAATACCTAATTTAAATTGTTTTTGAATCTGGAAAATTAATAAATATTATTTAAATGTGTTTATTTAAATTTGAATATTTATTTGGTAATTGATAAATATTATTTAAATATGTTTATTTGAATTTGGATATTTATCTATTATTTAAACTATTTAAGATTATTTGTAATAGAGAATTATAAATTTGAATATTAACCCCTCATGATTTATTAATTGTTACATTGCGTCCTCGCAATTAATTAGAATTAATAATAGACAACTAAATTTAAAGAGTTTTAAATTTACCCCTTGTATTTATATATATTAGAATTGTGTTTATTATATGTATTAGAAAGTTACAACATGCGCCCTCACGTGTTTAAATGTTGACATTGTCAGTCTTACCTCGACTGTAACACTCGTTTATTTATTAGTTAATAAATAAATTAATGAACGAATGGTAGCCTAAAATAAATAATTATATATGCAGGGTGTTGGGTTCGAGGAGTTAATTGCCACATTTTTAGAAGTCGGGGGTTAAAAACATGAGTTTGAGACTCATTTTATAAATATTTATGAAGACAGGGGCTCTGTGGTAATTACCGAGAATTATTTTTTTAAAAGAAATGAGGCGGAGGGGCTGAATATGTTATAATTAAGACCATGGTTGCAGAAATCGGGATTAATCGTTTGGCGTTCTCCAACCGTCGAGGATTAGGGCATTAATCGGGTTTGACGGGATTGATCGGTCAACCAAAATCAAAAAAGTCGAAAAAAGTCAAAAATAAAGTCAAAAGATTTTTTAAAAATTCAAAAAACCAACTTTGTTTTTTTACTCCAAAATTTTCAAATTTTCAAAATTTCAAATATTATACAAAAATGTTCATATTTTCGTATTTCCAAATTACAATTTTTCTTATTTTCTAATTTTGAAGTACTTGTTTTTCTTAAGATATATTAATATTTAATTAATTTTAATATTTTATTAATAATCTATGGTCCTCGATTAATCCTCGATTAATCCCCGCCAAGACCGATTAATCCCTTAACACCAGTCGACCGTCGAGCTACTGTCAAACGATTTTTACAACCTTGATTAAGACATTGGGGAACTGTTTGGTAAATTGTGTACCTAATTTGTAAAGGGTTTTAGATGGTGGGGTTCAGATGGTAACTTATGGACTGATTGTGAAAGGATTTTAGATGTTGGGGGCTGCTTTGTAAAATACGACCTTATTTTGAAAGAAAATGTCATGGGGAGGGATCAGTCTTACCATTATGGTAACAAGTTTGGTGTGGAGGCGGGTATATAAGTCACAAAAAACCCTAACCCTAGCTAAGAGGGTGCAACCGCTATCATCGGAGATCTCCAGCCGCCACCTCCATTCTCACGATCTACGACGCTGCTCCACCACCTCCGTTGAGGTCGCCACCGCCGCAGTCAAAGTTAAAGACCACCAGGAGCGCCATCGTCGTCTCACCGCTGACGAAGAAGGGGGTGTCGGCTTCCAGTTGTGATGCTCGGAGGTTGCGTTTGTTGTGGTTGATGTTATCGTTTCCTCCGTGTTCTCCCGTAGCTACACAGCGGTTTACGACCATCGGCGCTGTCACCAAGGGCTCGTCACGATTGGGATGCATCCGACTAGCTCTTGCCATCAGGAGGAAAAGGTCGTCACCGGTAAAGACCGTGAAGCGACGAAAGGAACGATGAGGACCTCGGGAGAAGCCGGAAAGAGCTGGAATGTGGCTGTGACATCACGAAAACTTCCTCTTCTCCGGTTCGTTGCTGCAACGCCGCCTTAAACCATCGTTGTGGCTGTTGCCGCCACTCGTGAGTACTCTACCATTGTCGTACGCTGCTAGATCGATGGTTGGAGTGCACCTCGTGAATCAGAAGCATGTATGTGTGTGTAACTTGGCCGGAAAAATGAAGGAAAGGCCCCCACCACCACCGTGAGGTGGTGGCTGCCGCCATGCACCACCGTCGGCCACCTCAAGGTGGTTTGTATGTGTATGTTTAGCTTAGTTAGTTTATGTGTGTTGGTTTGGTATTTTCGTTGTAATTGTGACTCAAAAGCGAAATAATGGAAAGAAATTGGAAACCACCACCGGCCGCCGTGTCGGGTGGCAGTGTGCTTTGCCTCGTGGTGTTGATTCGTTTGGGGTGCTTGAAACCCTAATGGGCCCACTGAAGCTTAATGGACTCTAATGGACCCAATAAAACCCTAATGGGCTTAATAATATTTTAGTGGGCTTAATAGGCCCAATAAAGCCCTAATTGATCTAAAAGCCCAACAAATTAATAAATGGGCTAGTATTTAGGTTGGAAACCCTAATTAGGGTTTGGAAAACCCTAATGCCATCAAAACCCTAATTTTGGGGGAATTAATCAAGACACACGGGACTTATTAATAACTTGGAATATTAAATAATAATCATTGGCGAAAATTAATCTAAGCAATATTGGACTTAATGGATTAAGTCCTTAATGGGTTAAGTAGGATACTTAACCCTAATCATTATTTTATGAGAAACCCTAATTCCACTTGGGTTCATTGTTGGGCCTTGATGATTGGGTAATTAATGGGCTTTCAGGTAAGGCTTATATGAGGAGTTGGGCCCAATTTGGAAAATTGGGCCATAAATGGGCCATGGTTTGGCCCTTAATGATTATATGACATTAGGCCATTAGAAGGTCAAATGTGTTGGATTAGTGTCTAAGTCCATAACTATTTTGGTATGTACTTGACCCGATGGTGCATGGTCCTTTTGGGTTGCCTTCACCAAATCAACTTGATAGGATGAATTATGGAGAGTAAGGATTAAATATGATTTATTAATGTATTGTGACAATAATATATTAAAGGAGAAATCATATTGTTTAATTAATATTAGTCAATAATTAATTGGTAATTAGTTTTGTGACTAAAAGAGATTAATTAAACTTAAGGGACTGGAATTGTAATTATAAGATAATTATAATTTGGGCCATGGATTGCCTTATATTAAGGGATGGACGAATTCTAATGGGAAACCCATAAGGAAATCGTCCATGGGCTTGATAAAAGGAGTCTATGGGTTGCTTAGGGCTTAAGCATCCAAATTAGGGTTTCCTTGTTAGATAACCCTAATAGCCCAACTATATAAAGACCCCTTAAGGCTCAAAAACGTGGCTAAGCTTCTTGTAAGGGTTTACACATGTTTTTGGCAGCCTCCAACCTCTCTCCTCTTCATCCTCTTGCTTATGGTGTTTGTGAACCATTAGAGGAGTGACACTTGTGACTCTAAGCCTTCCAAAGTCAATTCAAGGAGGAATTGGGATTGTTATTGCTACATAACAATCAAGGTATGATCTTAAACCTAATTACATATTAATATGATTACTTGTATGCTAGAATTAGGGTTTATAGTCTTGGATTCAAAGCATGTACAATAGAGAAACCTAGATCCAAGCATTAGGGTTTGTATTAGCACATAGGATGTCTTATGACCAAAACCCATAAGTGGTATCAGAGACTAGATTGGTTTCAATTGTATTGATGCATTGTATAACTAGAAAAATTCGATTTTTTGGATTCTGGAGGCTGGACTCGCCGAGTCCATGCAGACTCGACGAGTCCATGCATGACTCGACGAGTCAACTCGTCAGATAATGCTTATCTCGGGATTTCTTGCTGTTTTTGCATATGAATAGTTACCTTATCATGTTAGATCAATATAAATCCGATTTTATGATATATATGACTATATTCTTGATCTAATTAAAGATAATTATCAATTAATAAGATAATTGTTTCCTTATAAGATAATTGATTAATTATTTTGAGTAAATTGATAAATTGTTTTGCAAGAAATCATTAAACAAATCAAATATGGATAATTATGTAATTAAATGTTAGTTTAGATTATTTGTTATTTGATCCTTGTTGTTATGAAAGTTTCATATTTTCCCCTTTAGGTTTTATAGTTTAAATTTGAACCCAAAAGTTTTGAAGTTTTGAAATTTAAATAGTTAAAACCCTAATGTTTTGAAATGTTTCAAAACTTGCCCTCAAGTTTTGGAATTTAAAAGTTTAATTAGGAATGTTAAATTCTGAAACCCTAGTAATGTTTTGAAAAGTTCAAATCACACCCTTATGGTTTTATTAATTAATTAAGGAGTATAATTAAAAGAGGTTTAATAAATCCATAAAAGTTTAGGTTAACAATTTAATTGAATTAAAAGTGTAATTATTAAAGTTAACCACATAGTATTTTAAAAGTATAAAATACACCCTTTACTATATATAACATTAAAAGTCTAACATTATATATATATATATATATATATATATATATATATATATATATATATATATATGTATGAGTAAAAGTCAGTCTTACCGTTAGTAGGCCTCATTCACGAAGCTGGTCTATAAGGGGTGTTTAAGGAAATTGCCTATAAAATGGCGATTGAATGGGTATCCACTCTTACCCACCGCACTCTTGATTAGTGGAGGGTCGTTAGCCGAATGGGTAGGATAGGACGAAACCTTCCATTATAAGTATAATGAAATACAAAGTAACTAAATGTTTTTCAAATTCCCAATCTTAGTTACTTAGGCAAAAGTGAATCGATGCAATTCCATGAAATTACACTTTGTGCCCTTGCGAAGACGTTAGTGGAGCGTGTGTGGTTTACCAGCACACTAAATGGTTCTAAGCAAAGGTTGCAAAGGGTGACTCAATGTTTGTCATAGTTCGGTGGAGCGTGTGTGGTTTACCGGCACATCGAATAGGTGATTGTAACATGTGAGGGCACCATGTAGTTTGCATGGTTATTCACACCCGCTTTGTGATCCTCGGCATCCCAGTCACAAACAAGAGGGGCATATCGAGATTTAAACATGCCATTGAAATATTCAATGAATCTCAAAGGATCTAGGAGTTTTCATAGATTTAAAACTTAAAATTATTTTTCGTTTTTCATGGTGGAAATTAGTGAATCGTCATTCACTTACCTTCAAATGTTCTTCAATTTGGGTTACGGCATCCCTCTCCCGAGTTGTAGAATATTGTGTTGGGTCCTAGCCTTGGAATTTCATTTGGTTGATTTACCAAGGACTCAATCAATCAACTAACTTGAATTCGTTTTTCTCCCGATGTCAAAGTTCGACAACTATGGTCTTCTCAAATCCCGTGGAACAAGTATTCCACATGAAGATGATATTCCACGATTCGATCGAGGAACAAGAAATCATGATTCACTTCCTCCCCCCTCTTCCAATTATTCTCCCTAACCCACAAGATTGTAAAATTGAAAGGTTCAATATCACTCAAGCCCTTTTGGCAAGTAAACATAAAGAAGGAAAGTCGATGTGTGCACACGTCTTAAGGATGAAGTCACACTGTTGGGATCCGTTGTCTGTGAGGAAATGGCTGTTGATTGGGTTCTTCAATCACTTCCTAACCCATATAGTGAGTTCGTAAGAGAGTACTATATGATGAACCACGACGTGACCCTTATAGATCTCACCTATATGCTTTTTGCTGCTGAATCAGCAATGGTTTGGCGCAATAGAAAAGCAAAGTTGATTGGTGAATCTGCCTTCAAGACCTCTATGGATATAGACAATGGAAATGAAAGACATGCAATGATCGAAAAGTTTGATCATAAGAGAAAGGCGATGTCTGAGGGTAGTTCCATGTGTTGTTCCAAAAGAGTCAGTTTGCTTTTATTGCCAAGAGAAGGGGCATTGGAGACGAAGTTGCCCTATTTACCTAAGAGATCTAAGAGATGGGAGAGTCGAAACGTATGGCTCTAATTTAGGTAAAATCCATTGACTAACTCTTTTAAGCTTCATTCTAGATTCTGAATACATAATGTGATAAGATTACAATTGATGTTTAGAAGGATCAAAGAAAAGAAAAGAAGCTTAAGGGAAGAAGTGAGCAGAATCTAACCGTGAAGGAATGGATTTCGATCGCGTTTCTCGAAGATTAGATTCTTGAGCTACTACTTAGAGTTAGAATTAGATTGCTAAGAAAGATGTATTAGCATAAGTTTTTCAATGAGTTGCATTGTAAGGACAATTTTTTCCGCAATAAAATAAATTTTTTGATTTTAAATTTTAATTATTTATCCTTACAATGGCGTGTATGAAAAATTGACGTTAAAATTATTAGCAATAATGGATTTGTTTCTTATTGTGTTATGGAAAGTCAAGAATTTACCAAATAGGGAGAGTTTCTCATCGCCCAAGTTTCAATTGGACAGAAACTTGGAATCACGCAACTTGGTTGCATGATGAATGAGAAATTTCATATTTGGAAATTAGACAAATTCGTTGACAAAGTGTCAAGTGAAGGACTAGGAGATCGAGTACACAAAGTTGTGTGTTGATCAAGTTCACCATAAGAGTAACAAAGATATTCGTCATGATTTACTAAAGGCATAGTAAATATGATTACACTTACAAGATTAAGTGTAATTTTGAATTGATTAAAGGGTTTAGATCAATAGCAAAACGAATAAGAAGAATCAAGTAGGCAGAAAGATAAGAGTTTCTCCATTCTAAGAAGAAGGGAGAGTAGCTTTTATGCTTTATGATAGGTCTTAATGATTAAGAACCATATCTCAATTGATCCTCTAAGTGAGTCTTGGTACAATTGTATGTCCAAGAAGAGGAATCAAAGATTGAAGAAATGGTCAAATCAAGAAGTCAATCATACTTCGTTCCAAAACAAGTCTTAAAGTCAAGATTGTGACATTGAGTGAATAGTATTAAGAAGGTTTATAACATTCATCAATTGTGGAAAGTTGT